TGGGTGAAACACTTCTCCAAATAACACGCAAATGAAAAACCGCACAGACCCCAATCTTGGCGAGGTTGTTTATATAACAATCATCTATCATATCCCAGATTCTTGAGTTGATTTATTGAATGGTTACGATTTATAGTTTTGATGGTGTGGCAATGTCAACCAGCAATAAAACAAAGCTAAGAAGTCATAACTGCATCAAAGTAGAAAATTATTAATAAAAACAAGATCGAAATGTTTCTCACAACACAGCTGCCATGGAAAAATCATGTCTCGAGCACAACCACATGTCATAACCAATTGCCATACTCCTGGGCCAGGTGTATGACAGCTTTTTTGTCTAAATCTTGAAAAAAAATGTTCTTCACGTTTAGGGTGGGCACTTTCGAATTCCGCCACTTCGGTATAGATAAAAAATAGCCTCTATTTGGCGCGAAAATATGCTCAGATACTTATCCGCGGACATTATCTGTTCCGAGAAGTGAACAGTGTGTCAAAGGACAAGTATCCGAGCATATTTTTAAAGATAAATGGGAGCTATTGTGTTGATTATGCAATCGTGTTCGACCGAAAATATTTGATGGATTATGAGTAGGGATAATCATATAATGTCTTTTTTGGTAGCTTACCTGTAAGGCATAATAGAAACTAAACAAGAAGCTCCTGAAAAGAATCTTTCAAGCGGCTTCAGTGTCAGGATGTGAAGCGAAGTAATGTTTTCCCACCAAGGATAACTGTAAACCGCCACAGCTTTAAAGGAAGAATCCGCTAAATTTGCTTCAAAGAAGACATTTCTTTTAATATCCGCAGCCACGTCCCCAGATATCTCTTCAAATGGAGTGCGTGGCACGGCAATGATGAGCTTTCTAGCCGACACTGTAAAATTATCTGTATCGACTGTAAAAATGTTTCCTTTCCTATGGATTGCTTTGACATTTTCCCTAGCGTACATCTTTACTCCCAAACGCTTCGCAGATCTTTCCAATGCACTGACGATATCTGATAGGCCACCAGGCGGCCGATAGTAATCATACGAAGAATTGCTGGAAGCCTCACTCCGCTCGTATACGCCTAAAAAGCTCTCCTCACCGTAATTTCTTTTAATAGCGTATCTGGCCATGTAGAACTCGCAGCCTTCACTACCAAGTTGGTGGCACACAAAATCTCGGTAAGACGGAAATTCAAGTGTTTTCTCTCTAGTAATGTTCATCCAAGCATATTTCATCATTTCGGACAACGTCATGTTTGCAAAAGGGCCTGACAGCAGAGTCGGGAAAGCTTGCTCTTTGAGGGCCTGGGTACTAGACACAAAGACTCCTCTTGCTTCCCAATGAACGTCTTTTATGTCCATTTTCAACATGGGGATATTGAATCGTCTAGTTAAAGCCCTGAAAGTAAAATAAAAATTGGAAACCTGCAAATTTTATAAACTAAACACAGACAACAATTCTATCTTCCACATAAATTAAAAAGATAAAAAAAAAATACCCAACAAATCTACTACCAAGGGGGGGGGGG